ATATGCCGATAATGTCCAACTCTCAATTTCTGATTCCGATGTCAACCGATACTGATACCCATATATGTGGGCTATTTAACTAATTTTAGGTAACATCACATATCTCCTGTCGTGGAATTAACACATCATGTAAATGTGGCAGGCATTATCTTTTAAAAAACGCTAACGACATTGACAGATATAACATTTTCGTGCCAATATCAACCAATATTGGTGGGTCGATGTTGTCGGACGTCCCTACAGAAAATCTAAGAAGAGTCCAGAAGAATTTCTGATGGGCCATATTTAAGTGAAACTTGGTATTCTGGGGGTGGATTGCAGTCCTAAAATGACAGCGATCATAAATCATAGGCATGCAGTGTTTGTATAGTTACTGTCATTGCCAGAGGGAGGGCACAAAATTACGCAATGAATGTTTAAATGTAACCGTAGACTACAGAGTCAAGTAGAACTTTATAGTTGTACATTTGAACAGAATTCTGTAAAAGTGAAGTTTCAATCACAGTAGCAGCAAAAGCACTTTTATTTTTTTAAATTACCCACTTTATAAGTGAGCGAGCCTAATTGCCCACATGCACTTTAGATTCACCAGCTTTGAAGGATTTTTCCCGCATGTGCATCAGTGTTCACGCGGTACCATGAATGAACGCGGGGATAAAGCAGCAGGCAGAGAAAAAAAAAACAAAAAATCCAAAGCTGATGGGATCAGAGAGACTGTAGATCAGTGACGCTGGTGGTTTTACCACAGCAGCAGGTGCAGCCATATGCGGGACAGAAGAATACTCTCACCTGCTGCGTGTGAAGACCCCGTCTGTCGCGCAGCTCGCCGGACGCAAAATACAGAGATTAGCGAGGCAAAAACATTAAACGCCTGCAGTATTTTGTATTAATCTGAGGCTTAGCGCTTGTTAAAGTGGTGTTTTATGGAGAGGGTTTTAACTAATGTGAGGAATCACTGTTACTTTGCTGTCACGTGAAAACTACCCTCAGCATGTTGTGATGTTTCAGCACAGTAGACCTGCAGACCTGCTAACAGATTAAATGTGCTTCAGTGATGGGACTGTTGGACGCATTTCACCTGTAAACTGAAGCAATTGCACAACATATAAGAAACGTGTGGACTTAATGATCGTGAGGAACTTGATGCTAACGCTTGTAACCCACACAGCAGGACAACTGAACCGACAGCAGAAAACAACACCTGTGTTTAGAAAAGTCTAATTAATTCATTTAACTCCAGTGAACCTCCTTCTAACAGCAGACAGTTTACTACACGGCGCCCTCTGGCTACGACACACAGATACTGCGACTTCCCTCATCATCCTCTGATGCCGGCACATTATTTGTCACAACACCTAAAGATCTAACGGACACACATGGATGCTGAATAATCAAAACTTCTTACTGTCACATCTACACCTTTTCCTTCATCAAAAAAAAAAAATCCACAGTTTACTTTCACCTCTCAGCAGATGAAAGTGAAAACAGTCTTCTAGCATCAAACTCTGCATTGGACTCATTAATGAGACTTTTTCAAGAGTCAAGATTCACTTCAGCACTTTTTAAACCCTTGCTGTCGTGAAATCCGTACTGACACGTTGCATTCATCTTCAACTATTGAAAGTATTTCAAAGTAAATGATATTTTTCATTACAGCTGCAACTCTGCGCACTTTTGTCATCATCTTTAGCACCAGACAGCTTTTAGGGTTAAATCTACACACTGAAGTTTTCCTGACTGAAATTTCCAAGATTTGACATCACAAGTGATAAAAAAAAAAAAGTCCAGTGTTTGATTCACACAATCAACACTCAAAATGTCATTTGTTAGTTAACATGTCTCTTAAATACTAATCCACATTTTATATTTGAAAGAAGTCAAACTTTTATGCAGCAAAGTTATCCAGATAACTCTGTAACTGTACACACGCCCTCTACATTCTAAACAATCTATTTATTTTTTGTTCTTGACATCTTTCCTCACTGTGGGCTCATTTTTCACTGCAATATAGAGTCTTGCATCCCTATGGAAACAGGATAACCACGGCTAGAAGAGGATTAAAATATCTCTAACATCAATCATTAAAAAGAAAAACAAAAGTTGAATTTCTTTGATTATTTATTTTACAAAAAAAATAAAAAAATGGAATCAGCATGTACACATTTTCAAAAATGGTGACTCTACATACTAAAGATATTTTATTATTTGCATATTTCATTTGTGTTGTATCTCCTCTCAGATGTACGTCGCTTTGGATAAAAGCCAAATTAAATTGTAGGACTTGTTTCCATGCTTGTCTTGTCTCTGTTCAATGTAAACACTGCCTGCGGTTCCTCCCAGCTGAGCTTCAAAGGTTATGAATTTTTGCAACTGTTGGGTCACATTCGAGTCACTAATCATTTCTTGGTTGCACAAAGAGCACCATTTATTTTTTATTTTATTTTTTTACAGACTCTACCTACAGCAAACTCTTCTTTTGGTTAATTTGTAAATGACACATGGAGCATAAACATGACAACATGCCTTTCAAACCACCCTTGTGAGGTTCAGAGGGTTGAAGGGTTTCCTGAAGGATTCCATGTGGCGCCTTTTCTTGAGAGTGTGTGAGTTAGAATTTCAAGTAGTTGCATTGGTGCGAGTGCATGATGAGCTGTATTAGTGTCGCTGTAACCGGCGCATGCAGCTACAACTTCAGTGTACTGTAATAATTCTTAAAAAGCCGAGTGCACCTAAATACGCTGTTTTTTCCGCTTATAGAAAAGACTGCATGTAGAAAAAAATTACTGACTTCATCTTGGACAAATCTGACATCAAAACGTCCTAGTTTACTCTTTTTATTTTTGGTCACACACTTGTCTGAGCACACTGCAGCCACCAAGCAGCAGCTTCCACAGCCTGCTATGTGGGGCGTTTAGGGAGCATCGGTAAATTGTATCTATAAGAAAATGTTCAGCAAGTCACATGCTTTACCTGTGACAAAGTGGGAGGTGCAACAAAAAAAGTGAAAAAGTTCATCTGGAGCCCTGTGTTTGTATGGAAACTACATGGAAACTACGTCCATGTGGTGCTGTGCAGATACACCTTAAGACGTTTAGACTTGTATTCATCATGCAATACTATCTGATTGTCCAGAATCGACGGGGCAGCATGACAACAAGCCCAAAAATACACAGATCTCAACATAGGGGCCAGTGTGGGATCACATCAAAAACAGAGAAAGTGAGGCAAGTTCTCCAAGATGTTTAGAACAACGTAACTGCCAAAGAATGTCCTGGTTTTGTTTTAAAGATGTTCACACAGCAAATCTGAATGTGACATGTCTGTTTACTGCACTTTGTATGACCTTAACTGATCACTTAAATTGCATTATTTCTGAAAGCATCCTCACTTTACTTTCAGTTTGTAAAACTTGTGCACTGGTGAGTGTTTAGTATGATCATTATTATAGGTATTATCATTTAGTGTTCACATAGCAATGTCTGGAAGCTTGTGAGAGCTTGTTCACTATGAATGTCCCATTTTGTTTTTTTTTTCATGGAAATGATTAAGCCTGGTGGACTTTGCCACAAAGATTAAAGGCTCATGCATGCTAATGACCATGATGTCAGACATTGTGGAAAGACGGTCCAAACAAATAGGAAATTCCAATCCTGTTAGATTTTTCTTTTTACATTTCTTATTGGTTAGCAGCGTCTTTTTTTTCTTTTTGGTTTTAAATTAAGATCGGATGTTTTCCTAAGTAAGAAAGAAGTTCTCTGTTTACATGCTGTTTGAAAGTGTTCTTTGGAGCAAGTAAGCTGCAACATACATACTGCTGTGGAATATTTATGTCAAGAAAGATTGTGGAATAGTTTGATGGACAAAAACAGTAAAGATGCTGGCTCCAAACAACTCATTCCTAAACAAGCAGTCATTTAATTTATTGTGGTGAAATGTTAGAGGGGCATTCAAGATGAAAATAAAGTGTCTTGGAAAGTTATTTGCTACATTTTCATTTCGTGCCTTTACAGGAACGTTACACTATTTGTTAACAGAATTAAAAATCATAGTCAGTCGTGTGGAAGAAATGTTCAATTATGGAGCTAAAATTGAGAAAAAAACAAACATATAAGGGCTGAATTCCTGACCAAGACATTTTTTTCTCATGGTAGTATGTTTTGTTCACAATGAAGGTGTGGATACAGTGATTTCTTTACTCACCCAGAGGCGATAAGGGCACGTGACTGAGCCATGGCGATGCGCTGCAGTGCAGGACGGCTCAGCCCTGCGAGGCTTGACCGCGGCGGCAGAGGGGCTGTGCAGGCAGCAGCACCGGATGAAGACACTGGACCCAGGACGCGGGCAGAAGGCGAGGGTGTGCACGTGGAGGCAGCTGTGGAGATGAGAGGTGGGCCCGGGGCGGGTGCCGTGAGGGCGGAACAGGAAGTGGACAGGGAGGAAGAGGTGGAGGGGTGAGGCGGGGAGGTGGTGACCGATGAGGGTGCGGCGGAGAGGGGAGGGGGAGGCGGAGGAGGAGGCGGGAGGGGAGGTGGCGGGGGGCGATTGGAGGAAATGGAGAGGGCGGCAGTGGCTGAGCCAAGAAGGGAAAGCGAGTGGGTGAAGCCTCCTCCAAAGCCAAAGTTGGGACCGCCGATACCACTGGCACCCAAACCTCCTCCACCTCCCATTCCACCCATACTGAGGCCACCTGTCGCCCCGACTATGGACGTCCTGTGGGGTGAAAGTGACCTCGATAGGGTTGGAGGTCGAGGGAGGGTTAGTGAGTAAGACCCTCCTGGGATGGGGTGACTGCTTAGTTTGGGACTAGGTGGCTTGGTCTGCAGCGGTCTCCGGCCCAGCGTGTGAGCAGTCGACATGGTGCCTGCTTTGACACTTAGCACCAACATACACTGCTGGCAAGCACACGGTTGTCCCAAGGAGGTGATGGCCGAAGCGGGGAGCGCCCCGCTGGGGTACGCGCTCCCATTTCCAGTCCCGCTGCTGCTCATCCTGAGCCCCATGCCTACTCCGGATACATCAACGCCTAGTAGTCCTCCATGTGCAGGCATGGACGTGGGACCCCAGGCGTGATGGGACTTGGGTAGGGGCCCAGACACCAGCGGGTAAGCGAGGTCAGACCGGCGCTGGATGCGTCGGCAGCGCTGCGTCTGCCCATTGATTTGGGTCATGCTTTCAAAGTCAATGAGGTAGCAGAAACCCAGTGGTGCCAGGTCCAGCCAGGGCTGCTGACGATCACGTGCTGCCTGGATGGCGATGCCCACCTCCGTGTCGTACGCTGTCCAACTGCCAGCGTCGTTCTCCCACTCCCACAACCAACCCTGGCCTGGTGCTGATGTGGGGTCGTAGAAACTGCGTCGTACCGGTCGAAGGGTACCTGAGGAAGGGATCACAACATAAGAAAAAGATCCATAATCCATATGTGAACATTTCAACTAGGTGTGGTGTTTTTGTGGCTTTACTGCATGTCAATGTACATGACTACACATGTGGAAGAAGAGTGTAAACAGAAAGTTTCTGATCACAAATACTGAGCATCTTTCTCTCTACTGAACACCAACATGATGTTAGGTGATGAGAGAGGAGGTACGTGACGACACCAATGTTTGCTCTGCACAAGTAGAGAAAACCACTCTAACAAATTCAACATGTCTGTGTTTGCTTGCTAAGAATTTGGGCAAACAGGTTGCCCCTGGTAACAGCACACGGTGTTCTGAATTCTGATTGGCTGGCAGCCTTGATTCAACCCAAAGCTGGCTGTGTTTGCTTTCCCTGGGTGTCTAGAGAAGCTCTACAGAGTCTTGGTACTGTAAAGCCTCCACATATCAATCATTTCCCTATAAGTAGACCACATAAGATGGATGAGCTTGAGATGAAAGTGAAAAAAAAAATCTTTACTTTTATATTTTGCACTTGATTGTTTCTCTTTAATTGCAGCAAAAACAGCCGACAAACTGTGTAAACTTTTTATGACACACACTGCATTCTTCTGTGTCTTTAGTTAAAACAGTTCCAGTGAGTGTTAAACATACAGCAAAACAGTAACTCAACTCTACCTACTGTGTCAGAGTATCTGTAGACATTAAATAAAAGGGCCTCATTCATAAAAGCTGCTCCTGTTAACTTCATTTCATCAGACTCCTGAAATTCCTCCACACTCTTCTCCCCATTTTCCTCCTCCCACTGCTCTTGTATTTAGATCGGGGGCATCCCCCCATTTCAGGCTGTTAGGGTTTGGAAAACAAACTCACACAATGGCTTTTGGCAGCCAGTGCTGAGAGAGAAGGGCGACGTTGGGGTGTCTAACATTCCCTTCTTTGTCTTACGCTGCCCTGCTCATGAAGCTGTGCACGATGAATTCTGGTGTCCAGTGAAATGATCATTACTGATATTTACAGTAAAATGCTGTATGACTAAACACTTCAGCTGCTATTGTGGCCTCAGTGCTACATGCAAACACACACATATCCCACCAGAATGACTCACTTTCGAGCTGACATCTTTCAGCACCACAGATGCACAACACAGCTCCATGAATTTAATGTTACACTAAAAAAACTGGAACAGGTGGAACCTCTGAGAGGCTGTATTTTGGGGGGATTTAAACCAAAACAATGCCAACACACAAGATAATTACATGAAACAATTTGCAGCAAAGCACTCTCATCAGATCATAAAATACTGTTTCATCACTTGAAAAGATAAACATGAGCAGTAAAAAAAAAAAATAAAAAAAAAAAGGCCTCTACCTTAGGCCCGGCTCCACCGTTACACCCTCCGCCGGGTGCCTCTGCCCCTGTCCTCTGTTTCTCACCTGTGTCTTGTCGGAACTGGTGCATGGAATGCAAATCGATGATGTACGGCGAGAGGCGAGAGTCCACCTGGCCGAGGACAAGACTACCACTCCGCGGGTCGCTCCGGATGACTGCCTCGATGTGATGACAGACAGCGGGGCTGTAGGGCCGCCAGCGTCCGTGCTCGTTCAGCCATTCCCATACCACTACGGCGGATGCTAGTAACATCCTACTCCTGCAAGGATGGAAAACAAAATGACAATGTTGTGGCATTAAAAAAAAATAGAGAGAGAAAAAAAGAAAAAGAGGAAGCGCGGAGGTGATGGGCATTTAAAGATACCCCGCTGCCTCTCCGCCATGCATCCCTGCGCACAGCGGCGCTGCATCCATCTTGAACAGTTCGCAGCCCAGATGTGTCTCCTATCTGGATGTAAGAATAACATTTCTGGTTGACAACACATGCATACTATACCTTCCATGTTTGTAGTTTCGGATATGCAGCAATTAGTAGCTCCTTTTTATCGCACGGGGGAAAACAGAGCGTCTCAGGGCGCATAAAGCCTTGCTGGATGGGTGCATTTTATTCCCTATGCAGATGAGTGACGTCTACTGAATCATTTCTCAGGCACAATCAAGTTTGGGTGAGAGCAGAAGATGCAACTTGGATGCACACGGTGGTGCGGCACACGTGAAATAGGTAACGGTAACAGAAGGACTGTGATGGTTGCGCTGAAAGGCTGCTTTTGCTTTCCTTCATCTCCTTCTTGTTTTTCCTCACAGGTCAGTGTAAAGGAAGCGTACTTATTTGGAAAGATGACTTTTAATATTTACCCGGTTTGATCGGCTCCAGTGTTTCCTCTCAATCTTTGTGGAACAATTTTGGTGTTTTAGAAATTATCCATCTGTCACTGTGAGATTGTCTTCAGTCTTGAGGTAAAGTCCCGAGTCCCGGTTATATATTTGCTCTGGTGATTTCCTTCAGTACACTTAACCTACTTTGACCTAGGCTTACCTATCGGCTCGTCCATAATGCCTCGATCGATGCCTCTCATCCACCTCTGGAAGAAACTCGGCCGGCGAAAAATGATATTCGCGTGCGGGAACCACGCCTCGAGGGCATCCGGCGTCCAATCAGATTCAAGCAGGTGCCCCTGTTCACCAATCACAAGCGTCTCCTCTCACACACTCGGTGTTCATGGTTGAAGCGTGCCATACCGTTCTGTTAAAAAAGGAAAAAGAAAAAAAGCTTCAATTAAGGATTTGTTTTACATCAATGTACTGCTTCCCACTGGTTCTGGTGCTTTAAATGTGCAGAAAAATTAGTACATACTAAGAGTGTGGAGATGCCGGGGATTGAACCCGGGACCTCATACATGCGAAGCATGCGCTCTACCACTGAGCTACATCCCCATATGCCAGTACAGTGGAAATACACGTATTACTACTACTACTACACGCATCATGTCCTGGAGTACATTTCACTGATATAGTCATGAAATAACTTTTAAGTCGCTCATTAAACATGAAAGTAAGTCAGCTCGTTTATGTGTAACATTTCGAGTTAATAGTGACACAGCTGTTGTCCTGGTCTGTTCTGATTACGACAGCAAAGATACATACATTATAATCCTATATACAGCCTTTCATTAAGAAAACATGTTTTTCTCTACATACAACTAGCAATAATAAATCTTAAAAATGCAATCTTGATAGAAGAACAGGACAGGTATAGTCTTGCTTTTTAGAGAATTGGCCCAAAAGTCTGAAAGCAGCAACAGGCTTTTATTTTGGAAGCCCACCACAGCAAGAGGTCTGTGGTTTTCTCTACGTGAGCAGAAGCATGCTCACCATGAACGAATGTATGAAAAGCACAAAATGTTGCATAAAGAAATAAAAAATAATACGGGAAATGAAGTGGTGCTCAGTCAAAACATTTCAGGAGGAGGATGTTCACACCCCAGCTTTTTGTGTCCTCCCACAATGTTGAAACCAAATCTCACTCATACCAGAACACAAGGTGACTCTAATCTGCCCACACGTTTGATCGTTCTGGAAGATGGGACCATCTAAAAAACACCTGATCTATGAACAATGATCAATCTGTTATGTTTGATTAACTTATTGTTTTCAATGTAACAAACAATACCAACACCGCTGAATCTTTTGAGTTTTTCTGTTTTTAATTTTCATGCAAAGATTAAAGATTTTAAGCAACATCAAAACACATATGGCACAGTTCACAATATCAAAGTCAACACAGTTCTTAACAAATATTCAAAATCCAACATAGTGTACTCTGGTGTATTTCTAACAGCTTCATTTACTTTTCATCCTGATGCCTCCAGAAGTGGAGATAAGAAAATGAGGTCATCTCCCCGGAGAGTTTGGGAAGTTTTTGGAGTCTGGATGGAATTCAAAACTTACACATGGTGAATGTTTATCAGCTGATTTCTACACCATTTCACTGGACTGACTATTTTTTCCCCCCGTCAAAGCAGGAAAGCAATTAGATCTTTAAATTGGAAAATAAAATAAAAATATTTTGACAGCTCAACCTCAGCATTTTAGCAAATTTACAAATTTATTTACTTTAGCAATTTCCCTGAGGTGTTGTACCGACGGGATCAATAAAGTTTTATTCTAAGTTTTATTCTAATTTTTACAATCTTGGTTACAAAAGTGACGATCAAAGGAAGGTTCCTTGTACTTCATGTTCCCTGATTGTCCTCACAGTGCGGTCACATCGTCCCCTTTACCCTCACCTCCCTCTTCTCCAGACCAGATGGCACTTCCAGAGAACTGCTTCAGGTCTATCAACAATCCGGCCCCTCCGCTCGCTTCCTGTTCATCTTGCTTTTCTCCCACTTTCTCCTGCTTTTCCTCCTCTTTCTTCTCCGCCTCTGCGTTTGCCTGTGGCGCATCTGTTAGCCTGGCTTCCTCCCCTTTCTCCGAAACATCCAAACTTGAGTTATTGTTGGAAGAGTTGCCTGCTTTACCGCATGCCAACATGCTATCCTCCTCTTGTTCCTCCTCTCCCTCCGTGTCACTCCCCTGGTTACCACTATCCTCCACCTGCTGCTCCTCATCTTGGATTTCCTGCATTTCCTCTCCATGCTCGCTCGCTTCACTGCGAGGCCACAGCTGGACGCCGACGCATGTCTGCACCGCCAATGCTGCCCCTCTCACCCGGTCCCTCACCCCTCCTTCCTTATAAACCATGTTCCTGACTGTATATTCTCCATGAGTATCCCTGTTTAACTTTTTGTAAACGAAAATCAGCGAACAAATTAGGACTACTAGCAAGAGAACAAGGAGCAACACAGTAGTATCAGAAGCATCCATGGTGGCCCCAGACTCGCTCATGCCTGAAGTAAGGAGAAAGAAGAGGTTCAGCTTTAGAACGGGCACACTTTGGACATTGGGTTCTATCAATTTTGTTAGTTTTGGTGGGATTGTCTGCTAAACAAACAGTTTACAAACTTGGGAAATACTTTATCATCATTCTTGCTGCGCTAGATGCGGCAAAATCAACACACATCTGTTTGGTAAATATGTAGCTGAGATTAGCAGTTGGTTAGCTTAGCATTAAGACTGTGTGAAGCTAAATTCTATTCCAAGTATCCCAACAACCCATTTTACATTTGTGTTTTCGTACAGACCAAACAAATGAGACAAATGACACGTTGAGAAGCTTTGGCGCTGCTACGTGTAGCGAGGCTAGCTGTTTACCCTTGGTTTTTGTCTTTATGCTCGGCTAAGCTAACTGGTCAGTCTTTTTATTTAACTCTCAACAAAAAATATAAAAAAATATATTTCCAAAAGTGTCAAATTATTTCTTTACCAGAGCACCGCAAAGTATTATTGAGCTCTAACTCCACTATAAAGTTAAATTTTCATTTGGAAATGTACGTACCCCGTAAAAGGATTCCTGTTGAGTAGGAAAATCCCAAATGGCTTGTTGTCTCTGGTACGGGGCGTTTCCTGGTACTTCTAAAGCAGCGATGAACTAGTCATCCAAAGATCCACCAGTACATTTACATTCAGAATCTGTGAGAGAGAAAAAAAAGAAGAAAAGAATAAAGTAAATGACGGCTCACGGTTCTTGCAGTTAAACCTTAACATCTTTCAACATTGCACTGAATGACAAAGGCGCCTTCGTGATTCACTATCAACCGAATACAACACCAGAGAACAAAAGGATCAAGTTCATTTCGCAAAAAAAAAACTTTAGAGCTGACATGTAAGTAATGATAATATCTGTACTCACGCTGTTGATGTAACAGGAAGTCTGTATTTTCTTCTCTTGTCTTGTTTAAATATAAGTTTACTGCATCGACTGGAATGACAGGAAGCTATGCAGACCGTTTGCAGCGTTGCTGGTTTCCTGTCAAAATGATAACTGAACAGCATCAGTCAGCCTGCCACACGAGGAAACATCTTTAGCCAGGGTTAATCATGCTGATGTCAAATATAAAGTATTGCCTATAAATACTAGTTTAAAAACAGAAGTGCATATGAAGCTGAAGAGCATTGAAGGTAGCTCACCTACATGGTAAATTAATGCCTGCAGTACTGCGACTATAAAAACCCCTCCCCGTGTAAAATATGGTATATAAACACTTCAAGTATTTAAAATCATGTTAGGGTAGGGTAGGGGGAAAGCCAACAAACTATCAGAAAACCTGTTACTAATGTATTGACAATTTCAAAGTAGGAAGGATATAAACTGCTAAAAAAAAAAAAAACACTCTTACCAAAGTTGTGAGCGGAGATTATAGTTTGGTGACAGACAACGTAGACTGGTAAGAGAGGGACTGTTTAGGGTGTGTTCCCACAGTGCCACAGCGCGTGTGCAGAGGATACAGAAAGAACACGAAGAATGGGTGTGATGCATGCAATGTGGTGAAGAAGAGCTGCAGCCTTTTGATGGAGGTGCAGGCTTGAAGGAGGGGGGCGGGAGGGGGAATCGAAGAACTACAGCAGGGTGTAGTAGAATGCGCAGATAAGAAACAATTATTTATGGAAAGAGGAAGGTGATTATTTAAATTTTTTTGTTTCTTCAAGGTTGAGTTGTTTCACGTCAGGATACAAAAACAGGTGCAGGTTGCAGATAGATAGATAGATGGATAGATAGATAGATAGTAAACAAAACATTAAAATGAATTGATACAATAAAGAGAAAGAAACTAAGGTGTATATTTGACTATTTACATGTATATCAGTACTACTTCCTAGCACCTTAAAGTGCGATACGAGCCCAAGGCAACCAAATAACTAAACTACGATCCAAAAAAGTGTTTTGATTTAAGCAAATATATAAAGCTTAGTATTATACAGTGCAGTTGTAAGATTTGAACCTATCAAAAGAACACACAAACTTCAAAAGCTGCGCACAACTTCTGAATGTGAAACCTGTTGGCCACATCCTGTTTTTTTGCACCGCTGGCCGGGCTGTTACATCTCCTACATCAGACAAAGACAGCTAAATCAAATCTGCACTGTAACTTTAACACTCTATTCGACTGTGCTATCTCGATAAAAACAAATGTACAGATAGACATGTCATTGTGAAAAAAGGCTATTTTAAGTTTCACAGTTTTCATCATATTTAATTTGACTTTCAAGGTTATATTTGAAAACTCTGCAAACATAGCAGAAAATGTAAGTTTTGTTATTGAGTTCCAAATAGTTTCTAGCTGTTCCCACAGTCGTGCTTTAGATTAAACCTTTGTGCGACTTTGAATGTACTACGTCGCAAATTTGTTCAAAAGGATTCAAATCTGGGCTTTGACTTGGCCCGTCCATCAGCTCAGGTTCTCCAGATTCCTCTTTCTTGGTCACATAGTCTCTTTGACGTATGTCTGGGGTCACTGTCTTGTTGGTGTGTGAACGGACGACCAATCAGATTCAGCCAGAAGGGATTCCATGATGCGCTAAGGTGTTGTGGTAGACGTTCTTGTTTTGATACCGTCAGTTATCACAAATTTGCCCACGCTGTTTCCACAGATGGGACCCCACACAATAATGGAATCTCCACCGTGTTTCACTGTGGGTGCAACGCATCTGCCATCGAAACGTTCTCGAGCTTTTCTGCGAACATAAACACGACGATGCCGACCGAAGAGTTCAAACTTGAACTGTCCAGAGCACCTTCTTCGAGCCATCAACAGTCCAGTGTTTGTGCTCGCTGGCAAAGCTGAGACATTTCTGGATGTTTGCAGGCCTCAACAATGGCTTCTTACAACTGTTCTTCCCTTTGAACCTTGTTCCATCAGTCGTCTGCTTTTGGTCACTCTGGAGACTTTCTCGGACTCTGATCTAGAAGCGTTCATCTCTTCCTGAACATCAGCAGTGGTCTTCCTTCTGTCTCTAGTACTTCAAATCTTGAGGTGTCTGACATCTGCTTCAGTTAACTTTCATTTCCTCTCTCTTCCTTGGTGCATTTTGTAAATACCAGTCTTGGTAGCTGACACCAAGCCATACTTGACCACACTGTTAGAACCCTTTATGTCCTTCCCTGTTTGTCTCGGAGACCATCCAGCATCATGAAGTGCTTTAATGCGGACTCTTCCATCACCTTTTTACACCCACATTTGAGCCGGCTCACTGGGCTTCTCAAAGAAATTAACTAAGCATAACATCCAACCACTAAAACCATTTCTTTTCTATTCAGGAATGCAAATATACAACTAGAATTTGACATCTTAATCAAGAAATAATTATGTGCTTTACTATTTGAGCTCACCAAAATTACACTATGGCTAATAAATAAGCAAACAAAATACCGTAAATTCCAGACTATAGGCTGCTACTTTTTTTCCCCCCCTTTTGACCCTTGCGGTTTAGGCATTGTTGGGCCAATTTTTTGATTTTTTCGGTTTTGCTTGGGTCTTTAATTGCTTTTGGGGGGGCCACGGAAGGGGGGCCGGGGGAGTTTTTTGCGAATTTATTTCGGGGGTTTTTCGTTTTGCCCTTGAGGAGGCGGCTTTTGTTGTTTTTGTTGGGCAGGGGGAGGTTGAGGTCAGGTTGGGTCATTGCTTTTTTTTGTTGGGTTCTTTTTTTTTTTTTTTTTTTACCCGGTTTTTTTCCGGGCCTTTTTGGGAAAAAATAATCATTTATGTATTTGTGCATGTTACCAGTCGTGGGTGTGGCTTATATTCAGGTGTGCTCAATAGTCCAGAAATTACGGTAAAAGTTTTGCAGCAAGCTTAAATTAGCTAAAACATGGCAGTTTGCGGCGCCTAATGATTAGCTAAAACAACACCGCACTGCTTGTTTTCACACTTTGGCAGCTTAACGATAACTGTGCAAACTGTTTTTAATGCTAAACAAACAAAACTGCTACTTCCTTAGCCATCTAGCTTATGATGTGAAAACCACAGGTCCCACCGCTTCGCTACAGAAAATGCAGCATCGCCTCGTGGGTGCAGACACAGCCTACTCTGATTAACTTCGAAATCATGACAAATTCTAGAATATCTGACGCAACGCTTCCACAAAAGAATAAAAAGGCCATTCCATACAAAGTAGGAATTAGTGTTTAATGGTTTTACACAATGTAGTCTCATTCAACCTGCTACTGGTTTTACAGTTAGTTTTCAGAGGTCAGTGCATAAAGAAAGTAGTAAAGGGATAAACTTGACGTGGAATGTACCATTGTTACCGAATACTGTAACAAAAGTAATGCCTCTAAATGTACAGTAATTGCAAAAAAAAAAAACCCCACAAATAATGTGCGCTCTCCATCTAACACCAACTGTTTCACATTTCATTGTAACTCGTACCTCTTGTGGCTGCAAACACAAAGCGATACTTACATAACTTTTCTTGCTCTGCAAATTGGCTATCAAAGATCCTGGTTCTTTGAGGGGGAGGGGGGGGGACACTATACTGCAGCCCTTCCACACATGTAAAAAAAAAAAAAACAACAAAAAAAACAAGGAAGTAAAAGTTGCATATGTAAATGACAATGTGGGCGAAACTGTTGCCTCATGGTGTTACGGAAAACTCTACACAGCCACTGTTCTCGCCTGACAACATGGGGTACAAAATCACAAGTGTTACCTTTTTCATTTTTCAAAGACTACACAGAATTACATTACACATAAATATCCGACTACGCTCTCCTCCGCTATCATTCGCGCAACTCTCGCTGTCAAGATCATGATTAATGTACCAGAAGATTTTTCTAATGTAAAAACTTTACACACTGTGTTCTATAATGAAGTAGTAGAACGAAGCACAAGTCACACGATGAGTTAGCAATTTAGAGTTTGATATGACATGACAGTTTAGCAGCTTAAACTACCTGATTAAATAGCCATAATGGTTACATTTCTGAGTGCTTTAGAGGAAAAAAATAAATCATAATCGGAGGTACTCGCTTTGCTATAGTATGTCAACCTTCATTAGCTTTAATATAATGCTTTTTTGTTACCGTTTTGTGCATTAATTTGCGGCAATCATGTCACAGTAGCTCCTTGGAAATCCTTCAAAATTAAAGCAAGGATTTTGCAAAGCTGCACTCTAGCACCGCCGTGTAAAAAAATCCTTACTGTCAAATTTCACTCTGTGCACACGACACCCATTTCTAAACCACAACCTGGAAATCCATCCAAAAAAATTAAAAAAAATCACAATAGTTCACCTAGTCGTGTGAGTCACAGTTAGCCGCTACATTACACTAAATCCTTCCACTCACACAGCTTAAGGTACTGTTGATTCTAGTAAGGCTATGGTCTATGGATTTAGTTGGAATGCCGTCCACATGTGGTGAGCCTCCTGCTCTCTCACACGTCCCCGTCTTCAATGCGAGCGAGCTGCCTCTCCAGCAGCTCAATCCTCTGGCTCTGAGCGAGGACGACGGCCCGCAAAGCCTTCATTTCCGCCAGCAGCTCGTTCAACACGTCGTCCTGAAAGAGAAGAACAAATCAGCTTCGAAAGCGCGTGGAAAAACCTCAAGATCGACAGGCCCGTTGTCTGACCTCTCTCTTCGGCCTCTCGGCGTTCCCGTCCGTCTCCCTCGTGGCTACTCGCGGCTGTGGCGCCTCTTCTTCCGTCTCCTTGGCAGCAGTGGCGGGTGTGGACGCGGGAGCGGCTACGTTGCCCGCTGAAGGTGTGCCTCCCCCGCTGCCGGAGTCCTGAGAGGTGAGCTTGGGCTTGCTTCTGTGGGTGTCTCTGTGTTTGGATGGGGGAGCTGTGTAACCGCTGCTCAGAGACACCAGCAGCGGCGGCGCATCCTGCCCGGCGATCCACTCGTCGGCCAGGAGAGCTGGCTCCACGCCGGCCGTGTCCGGGTAAAGGTCTCCCTGGAAGAGATCTGACTGGAGAGGCAGGGAAGTGAAGAGGTAAGTATTTTCATTATTCATTAATAGACAGACCTCTTGGGCAAGCAGGTTAGTTGAATAATACAGGCTGGCTATTTTTTAAACCCTTTATAAACTCTACTCTTACCTTTCGTGGTACAGTCATAGAAATGGGTTCCACCTTCCTTTCATGCAGCTTGTAGAACCTACACATGACCAGAAAGCTCAGTTACTTCCTAAACAACTGGACACTGTAGCTTTTGGAAAAGTTCACTCAATAGAAGGAGTAATTAAACTTGCTTGGGGACTATTTTAAGCGCACATCCAGGAAGTATTCAAAGCAACACACAGGTGTATTGTGTTTCATTTGTTTTAGATTCAACAGAGCTTTATGGCACAGGAATAAGTAAACAAAGTAAAGTCGTCCTCAAATGTATTCATACCCTCCCATGAAAACAAAAATCATCTGTCACTGAAATAAGCTGATATTGACAAAAGTAATAATAAATACAAATTTAATGAACATCATGACATTGCTTTTGAATTGTGGTTCAACAGAAATATTTTAAAAAAACAAGCAAACAAGCATGATGGGACCCGTCAACTAATATTTTGTTGAACAATCCTTTGAGACAATCACTGCAATCAGGTGTTTTCTGTAACTCTCAATCACACTTCTGCACCTGTTGACAGCTATTTGGTTCCACTACTCACCAGCAAAGTGCTCTAATTTGTCCGGGACAGTTTTTTTTTACTATTATTCTTTTCAACCACAACTCAAAAGCAATGTCTTATTTCTCTATGTTATAATTTAGCAAATTTTTATTTCTTATTACTTTTTTCAGTTTCTAGCTGTTTGAGTGACTATTGTGAATTTTGCCTTTTCTTTAATGGAAGAGTCTGAATGCATTTGAGGACGACTGTGTAATGCTTTGACTACAACAGCTGTCTGCGAGATCCATTTATTTAATCGGTTTAGAGGTTTTGCTGTTTTGCAGAGAAAAATACAAGTGGCTGTACTCACCTGGCAATTTCACACTTGTTGACGTCCACGCCTCTTTTACTAAGAAACCCCGCGCCTCTCTGTGGCTCTTTGCTGCTGTATAAGCTGAGGAAGTGAGCGTACGGGGATTCGTCGGTCACTTCAAAGTATCGGATGGTGCAATCCCCCTGAAAAACAGATTTCTTTTTTAAGTGACTTCATCAAATAGGATTGAATTTGTGTTTGGTTGCCACATAATGCCACGGCTTCACCTTTCCGCACAGGTAGACCATGTTGGTGTCAGGGTCATAAAAGGGCAAAAGAACTCCATTACTCGTATCCATTTCCTGTATGGCCATTGGCTCCGAGAGATCTTTCTGGAAGAGAGAAAACATTTGAATCTCATTGGAATTGCTAATAACAAGTTCGTCCAACCATATAAACACACATCGCATATAATTTTACATTTATTTCAACAATATCTGCACTTGACAACTGTGGTAAGGTTAAGAATGAGAAAAATATTGTGGTTATTGTGGTTATGGCAGAGACTGAAACGATCCCAAATAGAAATCTATGGAAGAATTCGGCAATGCTGAATATGGTGGTTGTATGACATGTGTGCTGTCTCTCCTGCAAGAATTTCAATTGGCTCATTTATCTCACAAAGTCACCAATTTTTTAAAGCAATTTTCATCAGATTTGACAGGTGATTCTATAAATACAGTCCTGGTGATAACTGGATTTACAGTTATGGCTTTCAGTTAACTATGTCCTCCAGTGAGACTGTACTACACATTTGGGTGTAAACCAGGGGTGTCGACATCCGGTCCTCGAGGGCCGCAATCCTGCATCTTTTAGACGTTTCCCTCGTCCAACACACCTGATTCAAATGAGCAGGATCGTTATCAGACTTCTGCAGAGCTTGATGATGAGCTGATCATTTGAATCAGGTGTGTTGGAAGAGGGAAACGTCTAAAACAGGCAGGATTGCGGCCCTCGAGGACCGCAGTTCGACACCCCTGGTGTAAACCAATCACCAAGCATCCAATGTGGATGTGATTTCTCAGGCTACAAGTGACTTACCGTATCCCACAAGGCCAGCTGTCTCTCACTCATACGGCTGAATCCTGTGGTCAGGATTTTTCCATCTGAGAGAAACACTGCTCTCATAGGCCTGGTACCATCATGGACCTTTTCTCTGACCTAGGAACACAAGTTCAGGCTGATGAAGAACAATTGTACTATAACAGTGATAAAGATTGATCCAAAAAGTACTCCATCCTTAAGAGACAACCACTTTCGCTGCAAAAATGTACAATAACCTTGAGAACAGTGCCTCTTCGTGGGTCAATGACACGCAGGGCCTTGTCCTTGCAGACAGTACAGACAGCGCTGCCGTCCTTGTTCCAGCTGACGCTGTAGATGAGGTCCGGGTGGGCGTCGCTCAGCTGGTACACTAGTTCCCCTGTGCCCACGTTCCACACGCACATCACATTGTCACAACCTAGAGAGATGAAGACATCCAATCAAGTGGTGTTAGTTCATACAAGGGAAGATTAAAAAAAAACAACAACCTGGAAACATAAACCTTTATAGCTGTGGAGTCAATCAAATGAAGTCTGAAAGCAGAGACGTAGTAAAAAGCATTACATTGCTGTTGGAATGAGTGTGCATTAGTGTATTAAGATGTCGATCAGTGCATTAAGAGCTATAACTGAGGTTGTTTGTCGTTGTGTGCACGTATGGAAACAATGACTCATCATCTAAACAGCTACCTTATGTCATTAAAAAGTTCAATATGTCCTGCTGAAGCATTTAGCTTTAGGAGTTTGTAGCTATAAGGTCATACATAATCACACAATTTTCTGCCTAATTCTGATTAATCCATATCAGAGGTTTCTGTATTTGTATCAGTAGTTTGTAGTAGATGTGGTTGGGTTGGATAAAAGTTGATGTCACACACTCGGGTGCGGCATTTGAATCAAAAAGCGGTGGAGTTTGTTTGGCACCGTCACTCGTATCTCACCAACTAGCAGAACCTGACCAGATCAAATCTGGTAGCTTTGCAACAAAGTGTAATTATTTCTCAGGTTAATCACGTTCTCCTTTAAACTCGCATCGCATGCTATGAATCGCTGAGAAGGGAAATCCTATTCCATGCTTGTATTATGCAACAGCATTTGAACTGGCTGTCACTGAACACCAACACAGTAAGATAAGAGCTGTTCTTCAACTCTCACTATTTACAAATGGAAGGATGTATGTAATGTTTCTCTACAGGATGTGAAGTGTCGAGCGTGGGGATGCTACACCTCAAGTTAGCAAATTTGCTCTTTGTAAAAAAGTGAAAATGGATGCTTTTATTACAATATGGTAGTTATATAAAACCCAAGTGTGCATGTGGTCTGCCAGCGCAACAACTTTCTTTTACATCATCCTTTTTATGTAAATAGATGTAAAATAGCACTAACCACATGTTGACACAGTTAAATTCATGAATCATACCCAACACAGCGCCATACAGAGGGATCGCAGTCATATTTTAAGCAGCAACCACTTGTTTTTGTCGCTGCTATTGTGTACTAGAAGGTGACAAATGACTTACCTGCAGTTAGGAGGATGTTGAAGGCACTTGGGTGCCAAGCCAGGATTCCCACTCTCTTACTGTGTCCCTCGAGAGTCACAATGGCCTCCGTCATCGGACTTGTAAGTCCCCCATCGGGGATCTGCCACACCTGAAAATGAAAACACAGCAGACTTTAGGTAGAGCAGTCACATCAGCATCTCAAATGCAGTGACATTTACCGTTGTCATGCCATAAAATTCTTCCTCTTGTTAGGTCCTGTTTTCTGTCAATGTCTAACTAAACAAAGGCTTCTGTCAGGACGTCTCTCAGTATAGTAAAATAAAATAAAGACCAGAAGCTAGTTTAGCACAAAATAGTTGTTTTACTGATATTCCATGTTTATTAGCAAGGTTAAAGCGTTCTACATAGCTAAATGTGCTACTTTTGGACCAAGCTGGTCTATCTGTCGCAAGTATTTGTGCTAAACTAAGCAAAGCTAAGCAAACTTAGCACAAACACTTTAGCTATTACTTTTAAGCTTCATATTCAGATATGACACTGGTGTCAATTTTTTCATCCAATTCTTAGTTATAAAACAAATACGCATGTTGCCAAAAACATCAACCACTTCTTTTAGGTTTGCCAAACTTTCCAGATTTTCTGTGATAAAACATTACAAGACATCTCCTCAATAATATTACCGGGAATTTGTTCCTCGAAGTGAAAAAGAAATTGATAGTTGTTGTTAGACACCCACATTTGGTCAGAGTAACCTGTGCCACACGGATGACGCTCCACAAACCACCACCTCATGAGGCCTGTTAAATTACCTTGACTGTGCAGTCTTCTGAGGCACTTGCGATGATGTTGTCATCATGAGGAGACCACTGGATGTCCAGCACTGGTGCTGCGTGACCGCAGACGGTGGGACAGGACTGGTCAATTCTGCCACTCTGTTGGAACAAAAAAAACAAAACAAGAAAGAAAAAGCAAAGTCATCTGGCTTGAGAAGCTTTAGCACGTGACAGTAGTACGATATGTGTCCTCCATTTGTTTTGCAAAAGTGCTGCATATACATTAGTCAGACATGCAGTGGCAAAGAGTTGCTGACGCATTGCTTTTAGGAGCAGAATGGAAGAACAGGAACAAGATCCGGGCTTTTAAAAAATATTGATCTGCTGTTTATCTGACGCTTGAATGTAATGTAGGATCTGGAACCTTGCCTTGCTGATGGGAACAACGAGAAAGGCCCCTCCTCCACCTGCTTCGATGATAACAGCAATGAATTTGGGGTTGACCGCGCAGAGCGGACTGTCCCACGTCACCCGGGACACTCTGACGTCGTCGATGCAGTGCTCGGCTTTCCATGCCTGGGCGAACACATGGCGGAACTTGCTTTGCCTGACCACACCTCGCCTGAAAGACATATCTGTGGAGGAATTAATTACATGGCAAGTGCAGGTGAAAGCAAGAATCGTAACAACTTTGGATGGGTTAATGGGACGGAATGAGAGCAATTGAACTAAGCTGCAACAACTCTAGTTCTCAATGTGCCACCCTAATTCTATACATAATCACTTTAACTTATTTTGTAAATCTGGTTCAGTGGGAACAACACAATACAGAAACAGACAACTTCAACACTGATGGTGTCCAAATGCCTGGTTACTTATTCACGTAAGAACATCTGAAGAATGAGAGTAAATTTGGGCCGTCTAAACAGCAGGCTAATTCTTTCATACTGGGGAGCTGCTCTGAAAAGTACAGTCAGGCTTCAGTGGACAAAAGGGCATGATCCGCCTGAAAGCAAAACATGCAGTGGCAGTGAGGGAAAGGGGGTTGGGCAGGCAGCTACCGAGGAGAGGAGAGGCGAGGCAGTAACTCTATATGCCAGCAAATTGCATATTAGCAGGTATGAAGGCTGTAGTCTGCAATTTACTGATGATAAAAGCCTCTCCAATTCCTGCACAGAGCAAACATCTCCACTCTTTGCTCCGTGCTGCCTCAAATGTGCTCCTGTTGTACGATCCTGCACAAGGGATAGTCTTACCACATATGTAGCATTATTACACCATTTCTGTGCAGGTTTCTATTGTTGTCTGGTCACAGTACAAAGCGGGAAGACAGCAACTGGTTTTGCAAACACTGACTATAGGCATGAGCAACAAAGGAGGCGCATTAGTGCGTAGTTAATCCCACAATGGGGCATTTAAAGGAAACGCAGGGTTATTATTTCTGAGCATACCTGGCTTTTGGGCGACCTCTATTAATTGGAAAAAGGATCACCAAATAGTCGAGCTAGAGAGGATGAGGCCAATAAAATAATCCGCCGCCAGCAGCAGTAACTTAATCCTCTCCTGTGTCCAGGCAGGCGTTCACGTCGACTGCGCAGACCTATAACAAATGTGTTGTTTAGAGGGGAGGGGGGGAAAAAGGAGGCGATTAAAAAAAAACACACACATTCTTTGCATCCCTGGTTTGATAGTAATTACTCGCATCCACTGCAGTAGACGAGTCTCACCTGTTAGAGCATGTCCTGCGCCGTTAAAGCCACACTAAATGGCGCACTTCGACACTGAATGGAGCCCGACGAATGCGTACGGTGTGGGGAAAGAGAAACAGACGCCGTTCGCCCCAGTCTGCCTTTACAGACGACTGTTTTGGAGAGATGGATTGAGCAGAATCCCAGACACTTCCGCTCATGGCAGGATGTGTCAAAGACACGCGGGAGTCAAGAGGGATATCCTCCGTTTGCTCCCAGCAGCCAGTCTGACAGACCGGATGCGTGCGCACCTGCGAAAACTGACGACAAAATACATTTTATAAAGTTTAAATAAATAAATAAACAAACGACCGACTGAATGAATGAATAAATTTCTAGCAAAAATAATTAAAGTAACAACCCTTCATTGTACAGTCCGGCTGCGCCACTACGCGCATGCGTGAACATTGTACACTAGTTTTTGAAAATATTTAACAAAGATGCTGAAGCAAACAGAAAACTAAGAGATTTAGCGATTCGGCAGCTAAGAGGAAGGCTCAGGAAAACCACACACATGCTGGGGTACTTACAAATAGAGCCCTCGAAGGAGAAAATCGCATCATCTCTGTTCATTCCGATAGACCTTTTTTTTTGGTTTGTTTGTTTGTTTTTACAGCAATGGCGGATAGTGAAGGGAAGTTAGAAGTTCTCGTTGGAGTTGCACCGGAGGAAACAGTTTATTTTGCACTTTGACAATGTCAGACGTTTAAAGGATACGATTTATTTCTTATTATTACCGCAGAATCCAATCAACTTGTGTACTAAAGCTTGTCAGTGGAATATCCCTCACGATATTATAGATATAAGGAATGTTAACAAGCATCAGATCAGGCTCTGGATGCTGGTTTAAATTAGTAACATAAAGTTAACCACTTACAGCATATTCATTTTAAATGTAGTTATTTTAATGTCATTTTATCCAAAGTTGTGCAATTAGAGAAAGAATGCATCTAAATTTGATTTATTTATTATGTATTTATTTTAAAAAATTTAAGGGTGCAGTTAAATATTATTTAATGGGCTGGAGGTGGTAAATTTAGGAGCTCCATTTTCAGGTACAACCAATAAAACACAGTTAAGGATTTATATATACAGTGCCTAACAATTTTTTAGACCACCTGTTATAAAAATGCAAAAACATAAATATTTTAGAAATCTTTCAAAAACTTGTGTAAAACTATAAATGTTATTGGTATTTATTTGGCAAATAACAAACTAAAATACACATTATAACAAAAAATAAAATATATTTGCATGGCCTCCTTTGGCCTCAATAACAGCTGGTATTCTTGCTGTTTTTCTTGATCAAACAGTCAAGAATAGAATGGGCCTAAGTCTCTGTGTGTCACGTGACCGTCGAGCATTTTGGACCTGCACTGTGGAGGAGCTCCTTGGTATGCAAATGATATGTAAATTACACGGTCCTTGCCCCCAGACCCCTTGAAAGGGCTTCTTGCCCCTCCACACCAACACAGAGACAGAACATTGTAACTGAAAACAGACAACATGGAAAATTCTGATGTCATTAAAAAAAAGAAAAAATAGTGACAATGGGAAAAAAAAAATACTGTGAAAACACACGTGAACAACAAAATCTGAAAATTGTATTTGAAAATCACATCAAAATAATAAATAAATATAATGAAATAATTTTGAATATCAATGTTTTATCTTTTAGTGAAACCTTTTCAGAGAGTTTTTTTTCTCCCCCAATAAGTTAAGTGCCAACAGAGGATGTACCTACTCAGGAAACTGAACTCCTTTTCTGTCAGCAAGAACATCTTACTGACATTCTACCACACATTCACTCAAAGTGTTTTATCTTTCTCCATGTGCTGCTGGTATCACTCCATCACCCGACAGGACAGGAACCAGCTGCATAACATTGTGTGTTCGAAGATCATTGGACTTCCTGCTCGCCACCTCAGCAACGCGTACAAGCAGCACACATTCGGCCTGTCTCATCGCATTCTCAGTGACTCAACACACACTCTGTTCTCCACATTTGAGCGGCTGCCATGTGGTTGCAGGTTCCCCTGTCCAGCTTGTATGACCCAGAGAAGGAGAGCGACCTTTGTCCCTAACGCTGTTCTCCTCCTGAACTCTAAGGGGCGACAATAACCTTAAGCTTCTGCAATATTTTTTTGTGTGCAGTATTACCATTCTGTACATTCTGCTGTTCAAACTGCTGCTTTTTAATATACTTGTTACATTTTAAATTTATTATTATTAGTCATAGTAGTAGAATTGTTAGTATGTGTTATGTATTTGTTTTTTATTTAAATTCAATTCATATTTTTTAATATATATAATTTTTTAAAAACGTATTGCTGTACATAATCTGCTGCTGACATCTCTGACTCTTATATGGACACTCCTGCCTCACTACCTCCGCAGCAACACTCATACTGTTACTGTCAGCAGGCCCGCCACATAGATGATGGATGGATGGAAACTGCTTCTGTTTTGGCGCATACAAAAAGCACTGGCTTTAACGAGTAGGGTTTGACTGCAGATCTGCAAGCTACATTCTCAGGACTACACTTCTTGGACCGGTGGTGTGAACCGGAAGCAACAGCATTTCTCCCCATGATGAACAGTCACAATGTGAGGATGGACTGTGGATCGGTTTGTTTAATGGTATAAACATTTCTGATGTCTTCATTTGTGCAGCAAAGTTGTTGTTGACCTGCCAAACTATAAACAATGTTCCAGATGATGACAATTAACTACAGCCAGCATATTAATACTTGATCAGATGATAAAAGCATGTTGAAACCACCACTGTGTGTCAACTACATTAAGCAGAAGTGACCTTCTTTGTGAATGTATGTGTTGTTTTACAGTTCCACTACATCTAATGCTACACCTGCTTATGTTCATGTCTATCTCTGTGTGTCTGTCTCAGGAGACAGGAAGATCAGGGATTCAGCGGCAGAAATCATCACAAGACTAATTTACTTTTGTTTTGTGTGTGCATTGTCATCTTACAATCTTTCAAACCGGCCTGTTTGAGATCTAATGACTAAAAAGGTCACAGCATATGATTCCATTATTATTTTACCTGATAATCACATAAGTATTTTAATAACACAATTTGTCCTAATGCAATTCTTAGCAACTTAGTCATTACTATAAGAAGTTATTTTTAAGTTTTTGGCGAAATAAAGCTTTTAAACCTTGACTAGAAAGCACTGCTAGTGTGGAATAAACTTTTAAAATTATAGGTACTTGGACATTAAGCAGCAATTTGTGTGGAATACTCTTTGAATTCTGAGTCTATTTAATGTGAAATCCTCCTTAAGGCCGAATTCAGAGCCAAACTAAGAACATCAAGCGAGGATAGAGAAGATAAAGATTATGGCAAACATAAGATTTATTGATATTTATTGACATAGCTGGAATTCTGTCATGTGCGGATATTAAAATATATATATTTCTGGGTGAAGCAGTAAGTATTTAACTAAATAAGGCTAACAGGAGGAAAAAGATGAAGACAAAATCAAAACACAGGAATCTCCAGCCCATTTCATGTTTTTTAATATCCTCAAAACAACAATAATAGTAACAACAGCAACAATAGAACAAAATAATATAACATTTGTAGCAGCAGCAGCGGTCACAACAATAATAGCACCAATAATAATAACAATAATAGCAGCAACAGCAATCATAACAAATATAACAATACAAAGAGCTCTGACTTTGTTATTGATAAAGTATTAATAGTATCAACAGAAGTAATACAATTGCTAAATATTTCCAAACTAAATTAAACATTTTGTTGTTTTTAATGAAAAAAGATGAACATCCCCAGTAACACTTACACACTGGGAAATTTTACAGCAATTATTATGTTGTTTCATGTTTTAAACAAGTATACACAATCATGCACAAGTATATTTCTTCACCTTTGCTGTCTCAAATGTATCTGGGATGAGGAAGCACATTAACATAATGTAACAATGCCACACCGTAGAAACACTTCAGTAAAAGTCCTGCATTCAAATAAATGGTCTATATAAGTATTAGGATCAAATACTCTTAACTACTTTATATTCTTTTAGGTGGGTTAATCTATAAAAACACTCCCCAATTTATTTATTGATCATACTTTGCAATTACAGCAAAACAACAACAACAAAGTAAGTAGCAATAAAAGCTAAAAAAAAATAAATAAATAATCATAATAATCATAAAAAGTACATTATTCCCTGCTAATTCAGTGAAGTAGAATTATGAAGTAGCATGAAATGTAAACACGTAAGTGTCGTGAGCTTACAGTAAAATGCAATGGTGAAACTACGTCCTTATTTTTACTGTATTGTATACATATTTGTAACTTATCGTTCATTTCATTTATTTATTTATTTAACCTTCATTTTACCGGTTAAGTTCGTGGAGAACTGGTTCTTATTTCCACTAACGACGTGTTCAAGAGGTGGCATACAAACAAGATGAACAACAAAGTTCATGAGGTATCCAGCTCGTAAATGTCATCAACAGAAAGGCAAACTTATCTAATATGTTGGCCTTAAATTCAAATTAGCATGAAGCATCAACATGGCTAACGATAGCAAATTGTACACAGTACACGAACCGTTGTTTACTTGTCAACGTTACCGAGCGGCAGCATCAAGTAAGGCATTAAAAATAAATACATGTGTGTCCCGTGTACGTGTACTGACAAAAACTATAAAAGATTAACTTACTTTTCGAGTTGTTGGCGAGAAATCGAGCAGTTTAATCCGACGTTACCGTGAGACGATTTGAATTTCGCCCAGCCACTGCAGCGACAGGTCTCCCATTCGTCAATTCTTGGTAGCAAAGGGGCGGGTCGTCGTAACAACACGATCGCTGATTGGCCAGAGAGCTAAGCGTATCCTGGAAGCAATACGAGCGCTGATTGGACAGAGCACGGGTCGCTTCTTGGCAGCAGAGGAGCGTATGATTGGCCATGACTGCCAAGAAGTTACCAAGAATTACCCACAGACTGTATAAGAATATTTCCTTTTCCTTGTGTCTTTCTGGTACAGTCAATGCTCAACTCACGGATGGCAGGGGGGCTTGTCAGTAAAATTTAGAATAGTTTGTGTGGCTGCATCATTTCAGCCAGGATAGTTATGTCTATTTTCTGCCCTCCCCTCCCAAAGTGACATTTATAAAATATAGTGACACAGTTG